GGCCCCGGGTGCTGAGGTCTGAGAGGAGAGACTGCCTGGCTGGCCTCCGTGTCCTGGGGTGGAAGAGTCTTGGGGCCGCACCTCCTGGGGATGGGAGTTGGCGGGCTGCCTGTAGGTGGCACCAGTGGCCTGGGCTGGGGCTGAGGCTGAGGCTGGGGCTGAGGCAGTCGTGTTGGGAGCAGAGACCTTGCTGAGGGTGGGCACCAGGGGACGGCGGAAACTCTGACCCAACCACTTGCCCATGGGGACATTAAAGGTTTTGGGTGTCTATCAGGCTGCGTGTCTCTGTGTAGACCCCCTCGCCCCAGAAACCGTGGCTGGGGCTTCTGCTCTCCAGCCCACCTGGTCACCTGTTCCCACATTGGAGCCTCTTGAATTAATGTCTGCGGCTCAGAAGGTTTTGAAGTCATACTTGCATTCCTCATCAGCAGAACTTCCCTGCGGGGCTGGGGTGACCCCCACCTCAGTCCTCCAGCACTGGGCTCAGCCGCTGGTGTGTAGCCTGTCCCTCTGATGGGCCTGCAGACCACAGGGCTGGGATCTCAGGGTGTGGATGTAACAGGTCCGAGGAGGCAGAGTGAGCCGGGGCGGGGCGGTGGCTGTCAGGTGTGTGCCCGTTCCCGCTGTGGCTAAGCCCGGCCCTCGGCTTTATCCTGCCTGGGCTGTGTGTCAAGATGACCTGTGTCCTGCGACCACATCACCAGGCCTGCTGAGCTGCTGCGTGCAGGGTAGCGAGGACGATCCCCTCAGGGTGCCGGGCAGGCAGATGGGAACAGGCACAGCTCTCCTATGACTGTGGCGGGACTTAGGGGTCAGCCAGCCTCCCGCTGAACTCCCCGGCCGGCCCTGCCCCTGCTGTCCCTTCCCTAGGACTCGAGGTCCCCAAGGAAGGGAGAGACCGGCCTGGCTTGTCCAGCTAGGTGGAGTGCAGGAGCCCAGACTCCGTCCCCACAGGGTAGGAAAACCCTCCGGCCTCCTGTGCTTTACTGAACTGGGGCCTCCCAGCCTTGCCAGGGAGCACTCTGGCCTCGGGCTGCAGCCAAGGTGTGCGTGTGTTTTCCAGGGTCTATTTAAGATAAAGCAGCTTTGGGTGGCAGTGGAGGCAGGTCCTCTTGGGAGCAGTGGCCATGGGACAGTCCATGCACACTTTGTGTGAGCTGTTGGAGGCGTGTAGGGTGGCCACCGACATGCACAGTGACTGCCCAGCCCTGGATCTTAAAGGACAGAATACTAGCATTTCAGAAAAAGATCAGTCTCTTAGCGGCACCGCGGGTTGGGTGGAGGACAGTGTGGGCCCCCGGGCAGTTCCCCGCCTGGCGAGAGGGGCCCCCGGCAGGTGCTCAGTGAGTGCCTGCTCTCCTGGCCCAGGCCGGCTGCTTCTGGACAGGATCCGGGGCTTCTGTCCACTAGGGAGAGGGCCCGCCACACACCACTGCTCTCCCAGGCCGAGAGACGTCCCGGAAAATGCCAGGCAGGGCCAGGAGCTGTTCCTTCTAACAAGGGCACAAGAGCCATGCCCCACTGGTGGGGGGTGGGGGCTCCACTGGAGGCGGGGGCAGGTTGGCATGTCCATGGGGCCCAGGATGACCAGCTAAGCTCCAGGCCTACCACGGGCCTGGGGCTCCGGGAGAGGTGGGCCGTGTGCTGACAGTCCAAGAGGCTCAGGTATTCAAGTGTGGCCAGCCAGCCTCTGGGTGCTCTCTGCTGCCTGGGCCCCCTCCGTGTTCAGCCGGGGCCTGTGGGCTCCCACCGCCGAAGTTCCGAGGGTCTGGTAGGGAAGGGAGGCCCCTTCTCAGCTTCTGGGTGCCCAGGGGGCAGCCCAGGGAAGAGAGAGGTAGGCTGCTAGGAGGCGAGCGTGCAACGTGGTAGCCCTGGTTGGGGGCAGGACTGGGGAGGCAGCCCAGTAGGGGGCCAGTCAGAGCCCCAGGCGTCGTCAGAGCGGCCACAGCTTCACACCCCAGCCAAGCTGGTAGGCTTCGTCAGAGGGACACCTGCCCCACCCTGAGAACTTTGGCCAGCCAAGGGCCAGCAGAGCCCTGGGCCCGTCCTTTCCCAGGACAGGAGGGAAGCAGAGGCCTAGAATAAGGCAGGGGACACAGCCCAGTCCCTCGTGCTCCCCTGCCCTCGAGCCCGCCAGGACATCTGGGGACAGATGCACTTACTCCAGTAGGCGCTGCCCCTGGCCAGCACATCCGCCATGGAGGAGAGGAGCACCGTGCAGTAGTTGACCTGGGGGAGGAGAGACCGAGCCCCGCCCTCAGGACAGCGGCGCAGAGACCCCTCCCCGTCCACGCCCCTCCCCTGCCAGGGCCCCTGCTGCCCTCTGGTGGCTGGGCGGCTCCAGTACGGTGTGTGGGGAGTGGACGGGGAGGGGTCTTAAGTTGAGGACTCTCACCCCCCCGAGGCTGGCAGAGTGGCAGGGTCTCCCCATCAGGGAGGGGGAACCAGTACTGAGCCCCAGCTCCCCCTCCCCGCTTCGCCGCCCCCCCACCCCACCCCAGCTTGCCTGCTGAGCTGGCGCCAGGCCCCTGCCCGCCACAGGAGGGCGCTCTGGTTTGCCTGCCTACCTGTGACTCCAGACGCTTGACCCGCTTTTCTTGCTCTCTCAGCCCTGCGAGGTGCTTGGCTACTGAGTCCACCCTGTGGCAGAAGCAAGTGGGCAGCAGGCCGCTGGTGGCAGGGGCGTCCCTGTTTGGAGGACCTTCCCGTCCTCCCCCATCCCACTGCCCAGGCCCTTCGGGTGGGTGTGGGGTCACTGAGCCTCTGTGGGTGCCTGAGTTACGGGTGCTCTGGACCAGTGGGGGCGGGGCCTCTGCAGCAGTAGGGGCAGGCAGGCAGGAACCTGGGTCTGCAGGGAGGGCTGGAGAGAGGAGCAAGGGGGCTTTCCAGCCCAGGACCCAAGAGCGGGAGGGACACCACGAGTATTGGCCCGCGTCCCCCAGACCCCAGGCAGGCCAGGCCCCAGAGAGCCCTGAGCGGGGCCGGGAGGCTGCGTGCGGAGCCACGTCCCTGCCCCTGTTGGCCCAGCTCGGATCCTGCGATA